CAGAGTGGCCGTCCCGGAGAAGCTCCAGGACCAGACACATCTCACTCTTACAGGGCTGGTTGAATAAATCCCCCAATCCCAATGTCTGATGACAGTTAAACCCCAGGGCTCCCTGGGGAGATGCCGAGGGCCCTTCAAAATGTCATCCCGAACCTCAAGGAAGAGGACTCGGGCCTGAGGCTGAATCCCTAGCTGAGTTCTCGACAGGGCTTTTTCTTGATTAACTTTCCGTTTCCATCCGACCAGAGTGCTAGACCCGAGAGCCTGAGGGAGAAGAGGGAGAATATAAAATTGCAGGGTGTCCATGGCAACTGTGTGCCAAGACGCTGATACGAGGGTCATGTGACTGCTGCCAGGAACTCCTACCCTTTGCCCCACACAAAGAGCATCCAGCAGCCTTTGAGAGGAGTGTGCCAGTTTCCCAGAGTTCCTAGGTACAACTAAACTAACAAAACACACACATTGTCGTGTCTCTTGACCACAGGTTTGGGCTCAAGCTCCACTCTGGTATAAATCTTGTAGGAGAGTTGCCAGAGGGGGCTGCATGCCAGAACAACCCACACCTACCCCAGCCTAGGACCTTCTGGGGCAGGGCTAAAAGCTGAGTGGTCTGCACCTCTTCATTCTGTAGTATCCCCCAACCCCATTTTGACCTGAAATTGTGAATTCTGACTGGCTTGGACTGGAATGAGCTGAGCCTAGCCCCCTTACTATCGAGAGCTGTATTTTTGTATTGTCTCCTCTCTTCTGCCGAGTATTCCTGTGTTGGACTGTGAGGTGGATTTATGTAGTAACTTCAGTCTGGAAATAAAGCAAAATAACCAATCACAACAGAGTTTGTGCAGTCCTTATGGGCAGGGGCCCGGCCCACACCAGGGAGATCCAAGGTGTCCTTGGAAGACCCCAAATAGGAAGATCCAGGGGTTGACCTTGCAGAAAACTCAGGACAGCTTGGGGGCTACCCTTGAGCACCCATCAAGTGGTCAAGTCCGAGTCCTCAAGTGCAGGAGGGTCTTCTCTTCTGCCTTGAGGCAGGGGTCGTGCTCCAGTGCAGCACTGCTGTCCCAAACGCACCCTGGAGGCATCTGTGCAGGGCGTCGTTGCAAATCCACCCACCAGAGACTTTTGAGGAGAAAGCCCAGCCCTGTGGTTTGGGGACCCACAGTGAGGGTGAGCCCCCACCAGACCAGAAGAAGGGCTTCTTGCGCTCATCTCTCTGGCATTTTCCAAGAGTCGTCATCAGGCCTTGTTTGGAGCCACCCACCTTGTTGGCTGGCAACCGCTTTCAGGTGGGGCATCCTCTCGACAGCGGCCGACTCAATGTTTATCCCGAAGGATTGCCCACATCCTACTGAAACATACATTTGATTTTGACCACTTAATCCCTCTGTGGGGCAGGCTCCTGGAGTTCTGGAGTGTTATGGAAGAACAGATCTCTCTTCCAAACAGACTAAGCAAGAACACTATTAAGGATTAATACTGCTTTCTCTCCTAAGAAAAGGGCTGGGAGGGAAAGTCCATCTGGTTTGGACCGAAGGTGACAGAAGCCATTAAAATTCCTTTCCTACGTACCAGTGTTGCTTAGTAAGACAAGGGCTCATCTTCCTGTTTACACACACTGGCCTGTAGGTTGGCCAGAGAAGAGTGGGAGAAAGCTCCAACCCCATCTGCTGCTTGCCGTCGGCTCGTGCATTCTAGAGAGAGCTGAGTCTGACCCAACTGCTTTAGGCATCTGGGGAGGGAGTTTCCATTCCTGGAACTCCAACTGGTCTCCGGATCCGGGGCTGGGGGGGGGGGGAATGGTGAGATTTCAGTTCCATTCTCTTTCGGTTAGCAACTCTCAGAGGAATATGAGACATTATCTGTGCTGGAGCAGAGAGGTCACAATCACTGCTAAGTACCGGGCATCCTCACTGCTAAGTACCTCTTCTGGGTCCCTCAGTCCACCCTCCACAGATACCAGCAGCGGCAGCTAACTCACTACTATGCAGACAAGCCAATCCGGGGGCACCGTAACTCCTAAGGACCCCAACACAGAATCACTTATTACTGGCTCTGGCTGTAGCTGTAACTACTAAGGTGCAGGTGTTTGAAGACACTCCTCAGTGATGAACCCTATAACTCAGTCAGAACTAGATTGAATTGGAGCAATAAGTAACCCCCATCCAAATCAAAGGGCCATAAAACAAGGGCAAGAGCTTATCTCATAGTTAGCCCTGGGTTCAATCCTTGGCCCCAAATAACAAAAATAAAAATAACAAACATAAATGGCCAGTACAAGTTTATTTTATGTTCATAAGATGTCCAGGGAGAAGGGCCTGAAGAGACGGCTTCCTCAGGAGAATGTCTCCTGTGCAAGCATGGAGATTGAGTTCAGTCTCTAGGATCCACATTTAAAAAAAAAATAGCCAGGCATGGTGGCACACGCCTTTTCTCAGCACTTGGGAGGCAGAGACAGGCTGATCTCTGTAAGTTCAAAGCCAGCCTGGTCTACAATGTGAATTCCAGGGCAGCCAGGAAGGCTACACAGTGAGATCCTGTCTCAACAAAATGAAACAAGACAAAACAAAAAACCCTCAAAAAACAAAAACAAAAAAAACCCCAAAAGAACAAAACTTAGCCAGGCTCTGATGCCAAGTCTGGAGTAGTAGAGACAGGTGCTAGGGGTTTGCTGGCCAGACAGTCTAGCCAGATCAGTGCAGTGGCATTATTAAGAGGGGTGGCCTTGTTGGAGTAGGTGTGACCTTGTTGGAGTAGGTATGACCTTGTTGGAGGAAGTGTGTCACTGTGGAGGCGGGCTTTAAGGTCTCACATACGCTCAAGCCACACTCAGTGTCTCAGATCACTCTCTGTCGCCTGCACAAAATATAGAACTCTCAGCTACCTCTCCAGCACCAAGTCTGCCTATATGCTGCCATGTTCCACCATGACGATAATGGACAGAATTTCTGAACTGTAAGCCATCCAATTAAATGTTTCCCTTTCTAAGAGTTGCCATGGTTACGGTGCCTCTTCACAGCAATAGAACCCTAACGAAGATGATCAGTGAGCTCCAGTCTTCTCAGGGAAAGACCCTAACTCAGAAAGGAAGTGGGAAACCATTGGGGAAGGCATCCAAGGCCAACCTCTGGTCTCCACATTCATGTGCATGTGCACACGCCTACACATGTACACACACACACACACACACACACACAGTATTCTTAAAATTTAGTAGACGGTTGCTTTCTGGCAAGCCTCTTCCCAAGTGATGACAGATTCAAATCCGTCCATGAATGGACTCTGTTACTGTAAAGATTGGTAGAGAGATGTCGCTGGCTTTTCCCTGACGAGTTAACCCAGCTGGGAAGTTCAGGAAGTTGGGACCACTCCTAGGAAGATGTGCCCATCTTAACCCATGCTAAAGGAGTAAGAGGAGCAATTATCCCTTTAATGAGATGCTGTATTTTTTCCTTCCTAGAATCCCTGTCCCCTAGTCCCAGGGAGCAACCCTGAGGTCCTGACTCAGAAAGATACAGCTCCCCCTTTTCCCTTTCCTTTCTCTCTTTCAGGTGCTGAGCAGAGCCTACACATTCTTTTGTTGTCCCTGCAGGCTTCCTTATTCTGTCTCTAAACCCCCACCTTCCCTGCTACCATCTAGTGTCTGCCTGCCACCATGTGGAAGACCTCCATATCAGCCTAACTTAAATGACTTCTTCCCCCCTCATCTTTCCCACCCCCCAACCCCCTAGGTACCTGCTGAGATTTACAGTTTTCCTACCATGGAGTTTCCTTTTTAAGCTCCAATAATATCATCCTCAAGTTTCCATTTGAGTCTGTGGGACACCCCAGAATTTTCCGGAAGCAGTTCCATAGTTGTGGGATTTCCCCTGCCCATCTACTCAAGTAAGAGACGAAATGTAGAGAGAACTCCACATGCAATTATGGCCACGTATGGAAGTGTTCGATAGCCCTATTACTCATATTCCATTAGCCTGATCCTGGTCACGTGAGTCCCAGCTGCATGGGAGGCTGGGAAATGTAGTTTTTCTAAGTGACAAGCAGAGGAGAGTTGAGAGTGAGCCAATCTCATCTGAACAAAATCTACTTCTTCAAATGTGCTGTCTGCATCAGAAGCTACATGGTGTCATCTACCTTGCCCCAAAGACCACATTCCTCTGTTTCTGTACTTCTGGCAAGCGCGTCACATCTCTGATGTAGAGAATACACAATTTGGTAAGAGGCCACACATTCTCCATCCTGTCGAGAGAGCAATGAACTGTGTGGAGAGGCCAGTAGAAGCCATGTGTAACAGGCAGGAAGTAGTAGATGCAAGGGGCTGGGCCAACTTGGGGTTGGCATGCAAGGGGAGGCAAGAAATGAACTCAGGGGAATGCCTTTCCTAGCTAAGCAACAGGGTGTCAGCTGTGCAGAGGACATCAGGGACTAGGGAGCTGGCCCACTTGGATAGAGCGTGCTACCTCCGCGAGCCAGGCCCACCAGCTTGCTTGTGAGTGTGTCCTGTTTCCCAGGATCCCTCTCCACAGCATCCTGCAAAGCCTACTTCACAATGTGTTCCTTCTTCACAATGAATGCCCCTAAAGAACTGTACCAGACGTGTTTAAAGAAACGAAACAACACTTAGTAGGCTCAGATCCCGCACAAGTTGTCCTCCTGATGTCAGGATGAAGCATATAACGGGGTATGGTCAGTGGCTCAGTTTCTGCGTTTGCTGAGAAGTGTTGGGCTGGAGGTTGTGAAAGATCGGGATGAGCCCTGAGCAGGTCTGGCTCGCCTTTGAGCTCTACTGGCAAATATGGATTTCTTCCCACACAAAGAAGGCTTAGACTCTGGCTAGGGTTGTGTAAGAAGGAGAGAATAGAACTGAGGGACAATGGGTGCGATGCCCCGAGGGACCTTGTGGGGGATCCCCCTTCAAACAGTAAAAGGAATACTGTTAGAAAAAGAACGCATTTCAAAGGTATACGCATTTTGTTAGTCATGGTGAGGACAAAGTCCCAGTGTTTTAACCCAACACTCCATGTGTGGGTGTGGGCACTCCAGCCTCTCTTTATTAGCCCAGGTCACGGCAATGCCTGTTCTTATGCTCTGCCCTGCAGTTAACTGTCGACGAGTTATTTCTTAAGTAGCAGGCAGAAAGATTCTCAGAGCAGACACAAGGGTGGCTTGAAGAAGCCAGGATGATGGGCAGTTAGAGCAATGGCTCTGGTACTCCTGCCTAGACACAGGCTGACCGCTGGGTGGGAAGCTGGCACACAGCCAGCACGCTGGTCACTTGTGCTCTGTGGTGGCATCCACCAGCTTCTGGATCATCTCATCATGAACACCGGAGAAAGGCAGCCCGTCTACCTCCATGCCCACAATGCCTGAGATTCCACTCCGGACTTGGTTCTGCACCAGGATGTCCAACATTTTTTCTTCCTGGGAGGGGAAAAGGGAGATGAAGAAGAGATAAAAGTCAGGTGGGGGAAGGAAGAAAGGATTGCATGAATCTCTAAGTAGAGAAAGAGCTTTGGATTTGAGATCTCTCCATCTCTCTCTGTCTCTGTCTCTCTGTATTTCTCTCGGTCTCTCTCCCTGCCTCTGTCTCTTTCTCTCTCCTTTTTCTTTTTTTCTTTTCTTCCTCCTCTTTTTTTTAAAACAGGGTCTCTGTAACCCTGGCTGTCCTGGAATTCACTACACAGACAAGGCTGGCCTCAGACTCATAGAGAGCCACCTGCCTCTGCCTTCCAAGTGCTGGCCTTAAAGGCATGAGACACCACACCCGGGAATGTGCCTCTTTTTAAAAAGTAAAATTTGGGGTGAAAATATTAACATACTGGAAAGCTCCTTATGAAAATACAAATTGAAAGCTTGACGTGATGTCGTCCTAATTCTGGCAGGGCTGAGGCAGGAGGATTACACTGCGTTTAAGGCCAGCCTGGATTAAGCACTGAGCTCCAGGCCAGCCTGGGCTACAGAGTGAGACCCTGTCTCAAACAAGAGCAAAGGATTTAAACGGGTCAGCTGTTTCTTTGGGTGCTTATCGTCACGTGACTGCATTTCACACCCTGGCTGAGGCCTGCGTGGTCCTAACATGTGCCCGAGGTGCAATCCTCCCACCAACCCAGTGCCTAGGCATGCCGTGGGTGAGCTCCATGGGTCTGCTTGCGGCAGAAGGCTCTCCTGACATGCTATTGTTATCCTCCTGAGGGGTGTGTGTGTGTCCTGGTCTGCTTTCTATTGCTGTGATAAACACAATAGTGATACCACGACTAAGAGCAATGTAGTGGAGGAAAGAGTTTGTTTCTGCTTACAGCTCTCAGGTCACGCTCCATCACTGAGGGGAGTCTCAGGACAGGAACTCAAGGCAGGAACCTGGAGGCCGGAACTGAGGCAGAGGCCTTGGAGGAGTGCTGCTTAGCGGTTTGCTCTCTATGGCTTGCTCAGCCTGCTTTCTTATACAACTCAGGACCACCTGTCCAGAGATGGTACCACCGTATTGGCCAGGCCCTCGCACATCAAGCATCAATGAAGAAAATGTCCAGTCTTATGGAGGCATTTTCTCAGTTGTCTCCCCTTCCAAGATGACCCTAGCGTGTGTCATGTTGACCACCCAAAGGAAAAAATCTAACAAGCACAACACTAAATTCTGCTGCTCCCACCCCCATTTTCCACCATGGGCATGGGAGCAAGTTAGAGGGAGAAGAGCCATGGAGAAAATGCAGCTGGTCCCCAAGAGGACATGAGGTCACAGAGATCTGATTATGGCAGTGTCTAACCGCTCTGTGTCTTGGAAATCTCTTCTGTAGGATGGGGGCGTTGTTGATACTGCTGGCAGCGTGCCCTCAGAAGCTGTTGTGAGGATCCAAATGAGATATTGGTGGTAAAGCACCCAACGTGGCCCTCAGCACACAGTAGGGATGATCTGGTTGCCAACTACAGTGGAGAAAGCCCAGAGCTTGCTCTCCTTAACTCACTTGCTGGTTAAGGGGTAGGGGTTGGTCCACCTCTTTTCCTTTCCCTCCAAAAATAAGGTCCCAAAGAACTAACTGTCTAAGTCACAAATGTGGATGTCCCTGGTGAAGGCCACAGGCAGGAGGGGCCAAATCAAACACCTTCTCCCTCCTTCCTCCACCAACAAGAATGAACCAAAGAGATCTAGAGCAGGACCGCAGACATCAAAGGCTGCCACCTTCCTGGTGAGGCGGTGGACATCCCTTCTCCATCAGTTTTCCTGAGCGCCTGCTGTGACAGTCTCTGACCCAGGGATTCACGGGTAAGTTGACAGGTTCGAGCCCCCAAGGTGGTCCCAAGCTAGATGAGTGAGCAGAGACTCACAGTATATAGAGTCACAGCACAGAGTACACTGAACTCAGTTTACTGGGGGGGGGGGCAGGGAATGCTTTCTGGGGCATTCTTACTATAGCCTGAAGCTCTGTTAACCCTTCGAATTCACGGCTCCCAATACCGTGGTATTTGAAGATGGAGTCTCTGGGGGGTAATAAGGTCATGAGGGTGGAGCTCCCATGATAAGACCAGCACCCTTATAAAAAGACGAGGGACCACATGCTTCCTGTCTCTACCACATGAGGATACAGTGAGAGGCCAGCCATCTATACGCCAGGAAGAGCATCTCCACCAAGGCACCGACTCCACTGGAGTTATGGTTTTCGTCTCTTTAAGAGACAAGCCACGCCCACTCCCGGCGACCCCTGCCCTCCTCCCGCCATCTTAGATCTCTCGCTGTCCCCTGTGGGCGCGCTCGGGGATCTTGCAGTATTTTTAATAACTGGCATCTTAGTGTTGGACTTCCCTGCTTCTAGAACCGTGAAACTGAGAGCTAGCTGGTGAGGTCTCCCAATTTATGGCGTTTCGTTCTAGCAACCTGCACTGACTGAGACACAGGGCAACTGACTGACATTCGAGGAAATTAGAGAAGTGAGCCGCGCCAACAGCCTTGCGGACACGCACCCCAAACTTCAAATACTTGTGACAGGGAGCCGGGGAGACGGCCCAGGCAGTACAGTGCTTGCCATATAAACATGAGACTCCTGTCCTCAGCGCTCACGGAAGAGCCGGAAGGCAGAGACAGGAAATCCCTGGGACTTGCTGCCCACCCATTCTGGCCTAATTGGTGAGCTCCAGATTTAGCAAGAAACCCTGCCTCAGAAAGTAAGGGGTGGAATGATTGAGGAGGACATTTGATGGTAGCCTCCTGCCTCTGCATATATGTGAGTACACATGCAAGTATACCACAGACATGTATACACATGAATATGTATATACGCGCGCGCACACACACACACATACACACACACACACTGGGGAAATTGTTGGCAAGTGTTTTCTGGAAACTATCTCCTTGTTCCTGCAGTGGCCTTTCTGTTCTACCCGTGGGTGAAGGCAGATGCTCCCCCTATGAGAGGGAGGTCCAAGCACATTTCCACACAAGTACTTTGTCAAGAGCCCTGGCTGGGGCTACTAAGCCCCCACAGGCATTTCCCACCCTTTGTTTGGGCTCCATTCTCCCACTTTTCTCACTCATTACTCATATCCTCTCTTTATGGGGCAACGCATGTGGCGCCATGGGGCCTTTTCCTCCCAGCACACTGCCAGCCCTCACCGTTCTCATCCTCCGGGGACACCCGCAGCTGCGGGCTGCGGTGTCCTCAGGGTGAGTGTGAGGAGCCAACAGGTTAGGAACTGGCTGGCACCCAGCCGCTAAGAGCCACAGGGACCGATTGCCTGGTCCCTAAGAGCTGAGCCAATTGCCACTCCCAGCAGATTTCCGGGAAAGGACCACAAGATCTAAGAGGCTGAGTGGAGGGGGGCAGCTCCTCCCGGTGGCGGCAGGAGCAGAGCTGGAAGCTGCAGAGCTGTCCAGGCTGAGGCGACAGTGAAGGGGGGGGGGGGGNACATTAAGTCCCTCATACTATTTTCTAAGACCGAAGGTAGAGGGAAAATACTGTGAGACTATTTTGATGTTTAATGGACAGAAAAAAAAATCAATTTGGAATTCCTGCCGTTATCTACCTGCAATGCTCCTCAGGTCCCCGGGTGTTCTCAGCAGAGCACACAAACCCAGACTGCACATGTTTCTGAAAGGCCTGTCGGTGCCTAAGCCAAGCTTTCTCTCCAGTCAGGTGTACATATTCCTGGTCTTGACAGATCTAGGTGGGGCTGAGAATGTACCACCTAGAAGATGACTTGCCCCGTAAGCATCCTAGAAGCCCTGGGTTCCATCCCTAGAAGGAAGGAAGGAAGGAAGGAAGGAAGGAAGGAGGGAGGGAGGGAGGGAGGGAGGGAGGGAGGGAGGGAGGGAGGGAGGGGAGGGGAGGGGAGGGGAGGGGAGGGGAGAGATCCATCTGGGCGCCCATGTCACTCTGCTGTGTTCCCCACGTTTCTTCCCCAGGGGCCATGTCTGAGTCCTCCTTGTTTCCCAGAATGAGCCTGAGCCTGGCCCCCAGGAGCGGCTCAGCAAATGTACTTCTGCTTGCGCCTTAAAAACACGTCGTTCCATTTCCTCCTTGAGAACGAGGCATTGTTAATAACCTCTGAAGAACTGGGCATCCGTGCCAAGAGGAGAATTTTCCATCCCCAGAGGGTGAGTGTGAGGCTGTGGGGGTTGGCTGGGTGGGGTTCACACTTTGTGTTTGTGTGACTCAGAAATCATGTGGGAGGCTGCCCCCCATGTTTTCCAGTCCAGATGCAGGAAGCATCAAGAAAGAACAGAAGGCCCTCTGGGTCCCCCAGGAAGACAAGCCCATTGCCCCCATGAAAATGTCACTTGAGTCTCACACCCACCTCCCCCCCCCCATGCCTCAGCATCCTAAGGGGCCGAGAAACTTCTGGGCCACCCGCAGAAAGCCCAGAGTCAGGATCAGAGAGACCCCAGTTCCTACTTCAGCTCTGCCTCTTATTGGGTGGTCTTGGTACTACCTACCAGAGCTCACCAGCTCCCTGTTCTGCAGAAGTAATAATACCAACTCAGGGAGAGACTGAATTCAACAGCGGGAGGAAGAGACAGAGAACCAGGGAACAGAAAATACACAAGACAACATAAGAAAAAGAAAAGGGACTACAGGAAAAGAACCTCTAGATATGGAGGTTCGTTGGGAACTGGGGCTCGGGCACCAGCTGGGAGACATTACAGTTGTCTGTCCTGTCTTAAACGGACACACGGACCTAGAAACCGAGCCAGTGACCAACAGGTCTCAAGGTGTAAACACCTCAGAGAACTGGTCTGGAATCCCACTCATCTGGCCTGCTTCAGGCCACCGCCATGAGAAACCAGGAAGACAGGCTGAGCCACTTCCAGGTTGCTCTCTCGGCTTCCTGCTTGTGGTGGAGGATGTGAGCGCTCAGCTTCCTGCTATAGTCCCCATGCCTGTAGCATGATGTAGCATGTAGCCTCCCCCCCCCACCCCACCGGCCACCCCTGGAACTTTAAATCAAAGCAAATACTTTCCTGCTTTGATCGTGGTGTTTACTCACGGCAACCAAAAAGTAAGACACTAGCCAGGGCCCCGGACCAACTTCTCAGATTCCGCATGGGGCTACCCAGCAAGAAGCTGATACTTCATCTGTACCCTGGAAACCTGGTCCCATCCCTTGAAGAAGCGCCCACAGTGGAGAGATCTGGGTTTAGAATCAGTGTTGGTGAGCAGGATGGCTCCAGGATAGTTATAGAGACTGAGGGCTGAGGGAGGGACCGCCCATCCGGCTGCCTTGTTACCAATCAGACTCAGCACGGAGTTCAGGGCTGGCCACTTCCCAGGTTGCCCATGACATACCCAAGTTTCCTTAAGACATTTAAGGGTTGCTGACCTTCCTTCATCCTGGCCTACAGTGTCTAGCCCAGCATGCGGGGTTTGGTGCACTGCATGTGGGGTTTGGTTTGCCTACTTTGAGGCCCTTAGACAAGCCTACGGTAGGCCCAGAGCTCATTGCTCAGAGAACCATGTACAGGGATGATTTTGAAAGCTGTTTTGGGTTTCTCCCTGTGGATCCTGGGCTCAGAAGCCCTCCTCTGACATCCATCACACCTAAGCCTACAGTCCTCCCTCCAGGAGCAATCTTACACAGCCAGGGTCCAACTGAACCAGGGTCATGCCCTTCCTCCCTGGAATTGCCCCACCCCCTCCAGTGGATTCCTTCCTGTCTACATCCACCCACAGGACTCTTTTCCCACCTGATCCGCCCCCCTATCTCAGCATGTGTGCTACCCAAGATGTTTCAGTGGCCTCACTGAGCTGTCAGTTCTGTGAAGAGAACAGAAAGGATCCCCACCCCTACTCCTGACCACAACCCAGATGATGGTTTCCATTCAGTACTGAATGGACCCACTTTGCAGACAAAACCTCATCTCTGAAGGGGAAAGAAACTTGCCGAAAGTCAAACTAGGAAGGAAGGGGTGCTCCAAACAGGTCTTATGTAGGACCCAGGACCATAAGGAGATTAAAGTGTTGTGTAATTTTGTCTCCCAGCCTGATCCAGCAGGGAGGCAGTCCCTCAAACATAGCTTTGTCTTTGACTTCATGGGTAGCATGGTGGTTGATGTGGTCATATGGTTTGGAACTCAGACCTACTTAATTCCCATCGAACAAGAAAGCTGCCTCTGGGCCAGTGGCCTGCTACAATGCATTTATTACCTTAGCAACAGATGGCAGGGCCTGGGTCCAGCTCTGCTCCCCAGCTACCCTGGAAGATCCAATCGCCCTCCTCAGGTAACGCTCATGGACATTACATGAGTTCAGAATGTATAGTGCACAGGCCAGGGCATAGCCACCCCAGTTAGAAACACCTAGAATGCAAAAGAAAACAAACCATCATAGAAGTGTAGAGATCCTGTGGTCCACCGGCTGCCTCCAAGCAACAGAAGCCATCTCAGGTCATCGGCATGGACAGGAGACACTGGGGTCACCTGGGGACTTGCTACACATTCTAGGGCTCCAGTTCAAACCTCCTGAATATGATTTATGTGGGATTGTTGGGGAGCAGGTGAGTTTTAGTGAGCCCCATAGGTAAGTTTGGTTCAAGCTGGAGTTTGGGGGCTATTGCTTGAAGTTATACCCTTCTAATGACTGTTAGAGGCACTGCACCTAGAAAGCCGTTCCAGAATTCCCCACAGTAAAGAACTGTCCCAAGGACTGATCCCAACCCCTTAGGGTACACAGAAGCCTGTCCCCTGGGGGATTAGCGGACAGTCCATCACGTGAGGTTTGGTCACTCCTTTATGTCTTGAAGACCATTCCTAAGTCATCCTCAGACTTCCTTTCCTAGTCTGTCAGCCAGGCCCCAGAGCTCATTCTCTGGGCTAGAGATGATTTCATTCACTCTGCTCTGACACCTTCTTGAGTTCTCCATCCTGTCAAAGACTGATGGAGGTCCGTTTAACTCTAGATGCTGTGCCATCGTTAAGGAAGAGGGGGTGGTAAGGCAGCTCAGGGGATGAAAACTGGCTGCCAAGCTCGATGACCTGACTCCAGTCCCAGGACTACACCTATGCGGAGGAAGGAGAGAAGTGACTCCTGCAAATTGTCCTCTGACTTATACACACATGCACATGCACACGCACACACACATGCATACACAGCACACTAGGTGATTATTTCTTTTAAAGAAAGAGGATCATCAAATTGAAGGGAGAAGTGTACACATAGCCAGCCTCAAGGGAAGATAATCAATCAATGAGATACTTCCAAAGGATTATGGGAGCATGGAAGAGAAACCAGCTATTCTGATTGGTTCAGCAAAGATTCACAGAAAAGAATCATACAATGTAGATACTATGGTAGAGTTTACCTGGAGATAGTGGAGCTATGGGGTGGGAGAAGCCAGGTAAACAAATAACCCCCAGTGAGCACGAAGGGATACAGCCAACCCCGACCAACGAAGACTAGACAATAACTATCAGATTGTATGTCAATGATCCTAAGATAGCTTTTTGCTACATATGCATATCTGAAATTGGCAAGCGCCTGTGGTCATAGCTGACAGTTATCACTGACAGGCTCTTTAGTGCTACACAAAATAGTGGTGACTTGAGTCATCAATAGTACTCTCAGGGGAAAAGAATATTCTGCTTTAGTTGAATATTTCAGTCTGCTGTCCTTTTGCATATTGTGCCACATAGCTCCGAGAGTCCTTAAAACAAGCCCTGATGAGACATAGTGTCAATATCGTTATGTGAGCAACGTAGAAACACAGCCACTTAGACACAGAGGGGTAAATGTCACACAGCAAATAAGCTGGGGACTGTGATGTAACAGGCTGTTCCCTCCAGAGCCCACATTCCTTTTCTTTTAAAAATTATTTTTAAGTGTTTAATTGTGCTAAAATCTGCATGATATAGCCGGGCAGTGGTGGTGCACACGTGTAATCCCATCACTCAGGAGGCAGAGGCAGGAGGATCTCTGTGAGTTTGAAGCCAGCCTGGTCTACAAGAGCTAGTTCTAGGACAGGCTCAAAGCTACAGAGAAACCCTGTCTCGAAAAACAATAAACAAAACCCAACAAATCTGCATGACATGCATGTGAGAAAAGTGAACGGCTCCTTCACATTCTTACATCAGCCACGGAGAGTCATGTGACCGCCGAGGGCATGGGTGCCTTTCTCTGCCAGGACTCTAACAGTTCTGCTGTAGCAGATACCTCACCCGAGGTGTGTTCAATCTAATTCAGTTCTGATGGTACGGACCGTGACTGTGCCAGGTCCCATGGACTGGCCTGGGGTCTCATTTCCTAGAATGCCTCTTCCCCACTTGATGGCAGTGACTTAGCCCCAGATGACTTACCTTAGCCTCTGACTGACTATAATATATATATATACACACACACACACACACACACACACACACCACACCACACCACACCAGGGCTCCCAAAAGCTCTGGCTGGATGGAATTAATTTGCTTCAACAGCCACAGGGGAAAACACACCGTTTTATTACAGAGGATGCTATGAAAGATCCAGATGAAGAACTAAACGGGCAAGGCACCCAGCAAGGGTGGATACTCAGTTCACCAGAAACAGCATCTGTCTGTCTAGTTGGGAGCACTCTGAACTCTGTCCTTTTTGACTTTGGTGAAGGTCTATATTAACAGAGAGGGTGGGAACCCAGCAAGGCTGGCTTCTTTGGGCTCTTCTTGACCTCTCTGTGCAACATCCTTCTTCCTGGGTAGAGAGGAGGATTCTTCTGAGTTAAGTCTGGTCTTATGACCTGTCAGACAAGGGCTGATTGGAGAATTTCTTTTTGGCTGACTAAAAGTGGGAGTAGATTCTCACTTGAGGGAGGAGAAATTCTTGTTTCTCTGATCTACCTTGGAGAGGGAGTTATCTGAACCCAGATCCATGGATGAAAACAAGCTAATTACCTTTCTGTCCATCCATCCATCCATCCATCCATCCATCCATCCATCCGTCTATTATCTATCGACCTCTCTACCTATCTACCCTCCTATCTACTTTTCTTTCTATCTATCTATCTATCTATCTATCTATCTATCTATCTATCTATCTATCGTCTATCTGTCTGTCTATCATCTAAAAATATCACACTAGAATTCACCACCTTGGCCATCTTTAAGAATATAGTAATAGTGTTAAAAATATTCTTATCAGGGCTGGAGAGATGGCTCAGAGGTTAAGGGCATTGTCTGCTCTTCCAGAGGTCCTGAGTTCAATTCCCAGCAACCACATGGTGGCTCACAACCATCTGTAATGGGGTCTGGTGCCCTCTTCTGGCCTGCAGGCATACACACAGACAGAATATTGTATACATAATAAATAAAGAAATATTTTTAAAAATATTCTTATCTATCTTTCATCTATTATGTCTATCTAAAATATCTATGTAGCGTGTTTCAGACCAGTCAAGGCTACACAGTAAGACCTTTGTTAGGTGGGGGAAGAGAAAAGAGATTTAAGAATTGTGTTCACCAATATAACCATCTTTAAAGGTGCAGTTATATAGTGTTAAGTATCTATCAATCTATTTATCCAAAATATCATTTGTGATAATACAGATGAGCAGAGTTGAGTATATTCTCATGGTACAATTCCAGAGCTCATCCCCAGTCTCTGCGCAAATGCAGAAAATAAAAACACGTTTCAGAAGCTGTAACAAAGGAAAAGGCAAATTTAAAATCTTTGTGCATTGGTTTAAAATGATATAGGATGGTTATGCACTGAGGATGAAGCTGACATGCAAGCTGAAACTGCTGACTGTGTTACAGTGGGTGACACAGCACATTTTTGCCTGTGTCCGTCACCCTGCACTACCTCCTTCTTAAGAGTGCCTTCGGTCTTACTATGACATCATCTTTCCAAGTAATGAAATGTAAAACCCATGCTATATTTAAGCAACGGCGGTCGCCATTGTCCCTGGATCATAGGGTACATGGTAGGGGCTGGGAGAGATGAGCCGGGGACCGTGACAGGCAGCTAATTTAAGCCTCTGTGCTGGGGCCCCCGTGTGAGGTGAGCACACTGTAAACGTTGATCTCCTAGTCCCTAAGAAACCACTGATCTTTTCACTGTCTCCATAATTTTACGTTTTCCAGAACATCATATAGCTGGGTTCAGATCCCACAGCCTTTTTAAACTGGCTCACTCATTTAATAATACGCTCTTAAAGTTCTCTGTGTCCTTTGTGGTTTGGAGGTGGAGGTCAGAGGATCTATACTACATATGTGAATGAATGAAGGGAAAGAAGGAAAGAAAAGAGAAAAGGAGAGAGTGCGCTAACCATTGGCATGCATCTGTCCCTACCATATCCTGATGGCCGATACTGCCATGCCTTCTGCACCACGATCCATAGCCCCTTGAGCTGGGGCCGAAGCAACCCCCCCCCCCAACTAAATTCCTTCCGTCAGGGATTTTGTAGCAGCGGTGGAAAGGCAACCGCTACAGCACCCGTGAAATAGCTTCCAGGGGTGCTCATTCATTTTGCGCTGACTTTTGGTCACGCTGGGAGAACTAGCATCCTGACACTGTTGAGTCTCTGAATCCATGAACGTGGGATAGCTCTGCGTTTATTTAGTTCTTACTTGCTATCCTCCACCACGGCTTTATACTTTCCCTTATATCAATAGTAATGACATGTTGCTAGCCTATATTTAAGTGCTGCATTTGGGGAAGTGCTAACGTAAACAGCAACGTGTTTTTAATTTCAAATCCTCTTGCAAACTGGTTGCCTGTCTCCTGAAGGACGGCTGTAATCTATTAATTCGTTCCAGGAGTTTTTTGTTGTTGATGTTTTTTTCTTTCAGATTTTCCATATGGATGAACATGCCATCTGCAAAGATACTTATTTTCTTTCTTCCCAATCCATATCCTTTTTATTTCTTCTTTTTGTCTTATTGCACTAACTAGGATTTCTAATAGGATGCTGAAAAACTGGTGAGAAAAGACAGCCTTACCATGCCATTCCTGGCTGGGCTCTTAAAAATATTTTTTCTATATTTCTTGCCTTAGCATGTAATTTTTTTTCTTTAGTTTGTCAAAATCGAAAGTTATATGAATTAATTTTTGATTATTGGATCTTCCTTCTTATTTGAAATAAATCCTAACTTGTTAGTGATATGTTTCTTTAATATATTGTTGGGGTCTGTTGTTAACATTTTGATGAATGCTTTTTGGCTTTTTAAAAAATAACATTTATTTGTTCTTTATGCATATACGTGTGCATGCATATATATTTGTGCACGTGTGTGTGTGTGCACACGCACATATGGGTCTCTAGAATCAAACTAGGTCATCAGACTTGGTGGTAAATGCTACACCTCTCTGAGCATCTCACCAGCCCTGTTATTTTTATATTCATGTTCATGAAGGCTACTGAGTTACAGCTTTCTTTATGTAGTGCCCTTGCATTGATTTAGGATGATTAGACTCGCATAGTGAATAGAAAGTTTTCCCTTTGGCTCAATCTTCTGGAAGACACTGTAGAAAACTTACAATTTCTTCTGTAAATGTTTTAGAATTCACCAATAGACCCATCCAGGCCTTGTGCTTTCTGTTTTTGAAGAGTATTAATTTATTGGTTCAATTTCCTTAAGGACTATTTCAATTTCTTTTTGTATGTGTTTGTCTTTCAAGAAGTGGATGCATTTTATCTATATTATCAAATCTGTGGGCATACGGTTGTTTCTAATAGTCCTTCCTTATCTCTTCTGTGTGTTCATAGAATCTACAGAGACATCCCTTCTCTCATTTCTATAGTAATTCACACTTTTACTCCTGTTAGTCTTAGCCTGGCTAGATTATCAGTTTCATTGATCTTTTCAAAGACTTACCTTTGGTTTTGTTGATTTTATCTATTGATTTTTCTATTTTTCAATTTCTGATCATTTTACTCTTCATTTTCTTCTGCAACATTAGTCGTAATTTATTCTTCTTTCTACTTCCTTAAGGTGGAAAAGCTAGGATCACTGAAGTCAGTCCTTTCTTATTTTCTAATCTGCGCACTCTGTGGTGGCTTGAATGAGTCGTTTGTTCCTCATAGTCATCGGCATGTGACTGCTTGGTCCTCGTTGGTGGTGCAGTTTAAGGGAGGGGCAGACGGTGTGTCCTTGTTGGAGGAAGTACATCACTGGGGGTGGCCTTTGAGAGTAAGAAGCCTGGCCTGCTTAGAGGTTGCTCTCTCTACTTTATGCGTGTGGTTCAGGACCTGAGCTCTCGATTTTCTGTTCTTACTGCCGTGCTGCTTGCTGTCATTCCCGTCATATGAACCCTAACCCTCTGGTGCCACAAGCCAAAATAAACAGTGTCTTCTCTACACTGCTTTGGTCGTGGCGTTTTATCACAGCAATAGACAAGAAACTAATATATATGTCAATTATATCTAGTTGATTGATAGCATTATTGGGTTCAGTTGTGTCCTTACAGATTTTATGCCTGCTATTATCTGTCTATTTCTGATAGAGAAATGGTAAAATATCCAGCTATAATAGTTGGCTCGTCTATTTTTTTTTTCTGCAGATCTTTTCCCCTTGTGTGTGTGTGTGTGTGTGTGTGTGTGTGTGTTGTGTATCCGCTCTGGTGTTAGATACATATACACAAAAGATTGTGATATCTTCCTTGTTTATTGACCCTTTTATATTCTGAATGTGCTCTTTTGTTTCTGGTAACTTTCTTTGTTCTGAAGTCTGCTTTCTGTTGATTAGTGTTGCATAGCTTTCTTTATCTCTTTCTGTAAAACTACACTGGTTTAGTTCTGCACTTTACTTGCTATGCACTATGGGAACTAGGCTGAAAATTTAAAAGCATACACAGACAGACAGGATCACAGGGACATCCTTGAGACAAGGATGCCAAAAATACCCACTTTATTGTGCTCAGGGGCAGCTTATGTAGTGCTCTGGCCACGCCCCAGCTCTCGGGATCTTTCAACTGCAGACTTATCAGAACCCACCACTCCCCTGCCGTCAGGGTCTCGTGCTCAGGGCAGCTGTAGGCTGCTCAGAGCAGAGAAAAACAGGCTGTTTACAGGAAATTCAGGGTCTGGTGGTCTGCAGTCCCCAGCATCTTTCCTTTCACTCTGTAGAACCAGAGCTGGGTGTCTCCTCTCCCTCACTGGAAGGTGGCCATGGGCCGAACCTGGGTATTTCCCTTCTCTCAGGCAAGTATGGCTTTCCTCACACCACAGCAGGCTGAAGTTTCTTTTGAGGCCAGATCTTATTTAGAATAGAGCAAGATGGTAATATTTCTGAACTGTTTCCTTTTTCCTAGGTTCACCACAAACAGGAGAGATTTTCCTGATATTCACTATGAGAACCTAGCTGAGTGTCCAGAAGTAAGTCCCCCCAAATCAAGGTGATCTTTCATATTCTCCTGGCATTGCTTTTGCTTGTTTTGAGTTTTGGGTTTTTGAGACAGGTCTTGCTATGTAATCTTGGCTGGTTTGGAACCCTGGAACTCACTGTATAGACCAGCTTCAAACACAGAGACTGGCCTACCTGCACCCCCACAAGTGCTGGGTTAAAGGTGTGCACCCTGCTCCCTGGAGCAGGACTTCCAGGTTTATGCAGTGAGCCTCCAGCAACTCACCAGCAGATTTCCCATCCTAGATGGTGTTTGCTCCTTTCCAGGCTGATTCTGACCATGAAGGGGAGAGAGCCTTTTCCAGGTGTCAGTATTTCCAGAAACTTCTGGTGAGACTAAGGGAAAGCCAGGCTTTGAAACACCTGGACATACAAGAAAGGCTGGCCCTGAGGTTCCATGACGAAGGGCAGCAACAGAAAGAACAGGGAGCCTGAGGCGGAAGTTGGCAAAAGGAGCTGTGGGAAGCCCTTCTCTTGTCCACCACGTTATAGGCGCTGATCAAATGGCCTCCTGTCACTCTTATCTGTCACCTGCCCTGTTGCCCTCACACCTCTCCTCACCATGTCACCTGGTCACCGTCTCTCAGCTCAGGAAAGAGGTTCTTCAGCACACATCTCTCTTGGTGCCCAGAACCCAGAACAAATCCTGGGCACACTGTGAATGTTAACCGAATGGCTGAATTCCCACCCAGGGCCTCGCCCTCCCCTGGTGCCCCCTAGAGCCCCTTGGAGAGAAGGAAAGCTGCTCCGGTGTAACGGTTATCTCGGTTGTTCATCTGACTGCATTGAGAGGTGTCTGGGAAAGCAGTCAAGCACAGGTGGTCTAGAGGGTGTTTCCAGAAAAGACTGACGTGTTGGACAACAACTGAGTGATAAAGGTCCTTCCTGAGTGTGAGCAGAACTGTCCAATAGGGTCCAAACCCAGATAGGACAAAAGAAGCAGTAGCCTGCCAGGCAAGCACAAGGTCTCTTGCTCTGTTTCCCGGTCACTGTAGAATAGGCAGCCTTTCTACCGCCACAGGCTGCCTGGCTACAGACCCAGGAGTAATAAAGCCAGTAACTGTTTTCTGAACCCTTTGAGACCATGCACCCAAACCATCCATCCTTTTGGGTTGTTTCTTTCAGGTAGATGTCACAGTAATGAGAAACTGTCTAACACACCTGGTCAGGCTTCAAGCCAGGTGACTTACCCTGGGCAGCCAGGTACTCACCAGCAATGACAGCGAAGTCGGCTTCCACATCACAGGCGATGACATCTCCATTTCTTATGTTCTTCTTCACAGCCTCCTTGACCTTGCCCATCCCAAGCTCATTGCCTCCATCACCCACTCCTGAAGGGAAGAGAAACAGTCAGTGTACAGGCTCAGGGCAAAGTGAGCGGGAGCAGGGAGGACAAGACAGTCCCTCCCCCACATGTCAGTGGTTGGCTCTGAATATATTTCTGACAACCAGACATTGATTCTTCTTCATGTCTTCTAGAAACCTCGATAGTTGGGAGAGTAGGTCTGATTTTGGAGCTCACAGGAGTGGGATTCTGTCTTCTCTAAGGCCCCCACATCCAGTTACAGGTGGGGTGCCTTGTGTTCTGACGTGTAACCAGGGGTACTGGAAACAAGGGTACAGTGACACTCAGTAGCCCCCACACAGTGGCTCTCCTCACTGAGTTGTACCATGTGACTGGCCAACATCCCATTGGCCAAGAGGTGAACTGTGTCTTACTCTAGCCCAGTGGTTCTCAGTCTTCCTAATGCTTCAACACTTTAATACAGTTCCTCACGTTGTGATGACCCCAACCATAAATTACTATTGTTACTTCTTCAGAACTGTGATTTTGCTACTGTTATGAATCATAACATGTCTTAGGCATCGCCTGTGAAAGGGTCACTCAACCCCCAAAGGGGTTGCAACCAATAGGCTTCTGCTTACGGAATGGGAAACTCATGCATGTGATTCATTTTAAACAAAACCAAGGGGACATCTGGCCAATGTCTGAAACATCCTCGCTGGAAGGCACACTGCTGCAGACTGGACAGTCTGGGAGTGACCTTAGCTGCAAGGGATCCAGTCACAGCTGCTCTGGAGAGCTAGCTGTAAAGACTGCCCTAGCACAGGAGTTGGGGCCCATGCTGCACAGCATAGTAAGGATGGCCTTGACTTCTTTATGCAAGGGCGTGTCCCAGAGTCTCTAGGACAGAACTGGGTTTTATTGTGTTTCAGTTTCTTCCACGAGGGCTTAGGATACATAGACTAATTCTGCTAGGGCTGTGGATCTCAACCTGTGAACTGACCCCTCTGGGGTAGCACAACCTTTTCACAGGGGTTACATAGCAGATATCCTGCATATCAGATATTTACATTATGATTCACGACAACAACAAAATTACAGTTATGAAGTAGCAACAAAGTAATTTTATGGTTGGGGGGAGTCACCATAACATGAGGAACTGTATAAAGGGCCTCAGCATTAGGGAGGTTGAGAACCACTATGTTAGAGGCTAGCACCCCCAGTGAACTGATGGAGATGGGGAGCTAGACCATCTCAGGCACTGGAGATCAGACTGAACCAAAAGACCGGGACAGGTATGAGTGACCTTCCACTAACACCCTGAGGATATTTTCTGTTTCTACCCTGGCTGTTTTTCTCAGAATGGTTTCTGCATTAGTGACAGCATGACAGAAGGACAAAAGCGACCCAACCCTGGAAGTGTCAGGGCAGTAAGATACCAGGGAGGGCCAGGACACATGTGGTGGGGGAGGGACGCTCTTACAGCTTCCCAGGCTCTGCCTGCTAATTGCTCCTTTGGACTCATTCCTCTTGTGGGAGACACCTCCCTGCAGGCCTTGGGTCCTTTATCTGCCCAACCCAGAGGGACAGGAAGTGAGAAACCAACCCAGTCGACCACACTGCGTGTGTCCCACCCACAGCCTCTTCTGGGAAAATGTGGGGATTTGCAGAAACTTTCTAGTCAACCCAGAAGGTTTCATTCACTCCTCAAAACCTCAGAAGTCAGAGGGGACTAATGGAGCTGGGAAACACTCAGAGGTTTGGAGTGGGAAGCTCAGGACGACAGGCTTTTATTACCCCAGGCCTCCTGAGGGAGGAGGGAGAGCTAGCCAGCATCCTTTGCAGACTGGCTCAGTCCTAACAGCAAGGTGATTCTTTGATAGTAGGGGCTGGGGGCTGCACTTTGCCCCAAATCCTGCTGGCAATGCTAATAAGCCAGGCAATTTCAATCTCATTGAGCCTCGTTTTCTCATCTACTTCCTTCCTACCACATGGGTTTTTGAGCAGGATAGAAAATAAAAAACAAAAAACAAAACAAAAACGGTTGTGAAAGTTCTTAGAAAAGTACAAAGTTCAGAACCCAAGCAGTGTATTAGTAACAGTAATAGTTTCCTCAGCTCACATTTAATATACTTACAAAGGGAAGCGCTTCTTCAGATGACCCGTGACAAAATCCAGCCTGTATGATCGAAATGATACAGCATGCCTCGATTTCACTGTTGTTAATATTTCACGATGAGTTTAATTACTTCGGAATTGGGCAAATGGAGAATGCTCTGTGTGTGTCACTTCCCTTTCTCCTAAGGGACTGTTGCATTTCTTTTTTTTTTTTTTTTTTTTTTTTTTTTNTCTCCTCCTCCTCCTCCTCCTCCTCCTCCTCCTTCTCCTTCCATCTCCCCTCTTCTTTCTCCACCGTATCCTCTTCTTCTCCTCAGCCCTGGGGATACAATCCAGGACCTTGTCCCCTCTAGGCCAGAGAGATGGGTGGGATAAATTTCTGGTTTTGTTCCATACTTCAGCCGAGGTGTGGGACTGTGCTGAGTCCCAGTGGAACTGTTTCCAATGACATTTTTTGAGCTACTGGGTGCCCCTGAAGTTAGCTCTAGTACATGCCTTTTGTGTTGATAATCGAAGCATAACCTTGAGCGTAAGCAGGACGGAAAAGCCCACTGAACTATTTTCTCGTGTGCTGAGACACAGGGAGGGGCTCTGTGGAATGAACGTTGACCCTGTGACCAAGCTGGTGGAGGAGGAACAAGGGGACGTTGGACAGGTTCTTCACCACTCTTTCCCTAGGTTCCTCATCTGGAAGGACCTTTATACATAACACTGAAGTATTTCTTCCCCAGAAGAGGAACTTGGGGCCCAGAGAGGTAAAAATGATCTGCAAGGTCACACAGCTAGTTCCCAGCAGAACTGAAAGTACACTCGGTGTCTCTAATCTCCCACTGTACTTCACCCTGGCCTGGGATACCTGCCTCATCAGCACCCATAGCCTCCTAGAACCAGGGTGTCCCTACTCGGCCCACCCTTCCTCTGCACAGTACAGATTCTTAATTTGGCTGCCACTCAGGGCAGCTCACTGTGCTGCCTTCAACTGGGCTCTGACAGTCACAGATGCTGTTCACATATAGAACCCAGAGTTATCATGTCATGGGAGGTCCCAATATGAAATTACCAAGGCAACCCGTAGACATGCCAATCAGTTTTCTTAACAACTAAAATGGGATCGTTCTTTGACTTTTCTAGTCAGATAGATAAACATAGAGCGAATCATCCCCAAACCAACGAGCAAAAGCGTTCACTCAAATGCAATGGTTGTAAAGTGCATCCCAGTAGGACCTGGGAGGGACTTAAAGTCAAACAGCCAATCAACTTTCAAGTCAAAAAAATGCACAGTGAAAGTTAAAAAAAAAAAAGTGGGCTGAGGATGTGGCTCCGGTGATGGAGAGCTTGCCTAGTAAATACAAATTGGATTTCGTTGCCAATACTGAAATGAGGAGAAAAAAAAATAAACCAGTTTGCATGGTGTTTATAATTCCAACACTAGGAAGACCAAGAAGCAAGGATGGTGGGTTTGAGGTTAGCATGGGCTATATCATGAGACTTTGTCTCAAAAATAACAACAGACCAAGTAAAACAACCAAGCTAAATCAAACAAACAAAACAGCGTGATAATGAACAAAGGACCCTGGGTAATATTTACCATTTTCAATGTTGGATGGAGAGAAGCAGGAATTAAGAAAAGAAGATCAGTAAGCTAGAATTTAGTTATTTCAGTCCTGACTTTTATATTGGTGGGAGGGTTTATGGGTCCTTTTTATGTTATTAGAAATAAGCATATGAGAAAAATGAATAAAAATGGGCCATGTGTGGACCCAAAGTGAAAACCAGTTATGGACCAAAGATAATGAACAGTTTTGTCTGACTGAAGCATTTCTTAATCATGGTGTCACTAGCGTCTAGACTGGCTGAAATAAACAAAGCCCAGTTTGGGGGGTGAAAAGCAATAGTTGTGCATGCCGTCCTTGCCTGGCCTGCGCTCGATGGTTGAAAAAAGATGCTTAGCGCTGATGTGTTCGTGTTGAAATCTTAGTGCCCCCACTCACCAGTGGATGAGATTCCAGGAATCTTTTGTGCGGCAAGGAAAAGGTCATCGATGGGGTCAACTAAGTGCTTGATGTTCACCTTCCTGGCGTTGTAGTAACTGCCGTCAGCAGCCTTCCCCGCACGCTCTATGGCCACCAGGTGGTCAAATCTGCCCGGAAGCAATGGTGGTGAGTCTTCAAGGGGACAATGGCAGCTGTGTTGGCTCTAACCGTGCGTCTTCGGGAACGTCCCTTGGTTTCTTGGCTCCTTTAATCCTATGCCTGACTGAGGCCTACTTCGTGCAGGAGTGGGGGCCATCAGCGGAACTAACTCACTACATTGCTGCTGGTGGAGACACGAGCTCAGCGAAGCTGCCAGAAGCCTGAGGGGTTCCCAGGACCTCCACACGGGTAAAGCTGGGTTCTCTACTACATTGACCGCACCAGAAAGAATTTCAGAACAAGTCAAAGTTAAGACAAGTTAGCAAGTCTATTCAGGGATAGGAGATGGTGCAGATTTCAGATTTAGGTAGGATCATCATTAACTCTCCTCATTTTCTCTCTCTCTCTCTCTCTCTCTCTCTCTCTCTCTCTCTCATGCACAAACATACCACACTGCACACACACATACATACTACACCGTACACACACATACCACACATATAGACCATACACACACACATCCAGACCTCATACACACCACACACACTCATACCACATACACACAAATAGGACAGTACACATCCAGACATGGATGTAGGCTTCTCAAGAGCTAAAGCAATACTCAGATGTTTTTTTTATTGACAATACATTTGATATATATGATGTTTTGGCCAAATTATAGAACTCAAAGGGTGCAATTTACAACAAGGCTTAGAGATTCAGCAACATTTAAAAGTGAAGTAAAAGATGTGAGTTTGTTTACTAATTGCTTTTTGAGTTCCTTTGGTAAGTGAAAACTGTCAGTTTTATAAGACACACTGCTTGGATGAGCTGGGGGAAGGATTGCTAGGATAAACTCAGGTTCGCAAATGTCTTGACCCTGAGAAAGCATAGCTTTTTTGTTTGTTTGGGTTTTGTGTTTCTTCCTTGAGACAAGGTCTCCCATAGCCTAGGCTGGCTAACTTGCTATGCAGCTAAGGATGACTTTGTACTTTTGTGACTATGTTTTTAAACGCATTACTACCATTACTGTGTATGGATGGAGCGTGGATACACGTGTGCTACAGCAAATGAGGTGGCGGTCAGAACACAACTTCCTTCCACCTTATGTGGATCACGGGGGTCCAGTTCAGGCCATCAGGCTTGGTGTCAAGCACCTTTACCTGTTGAGCCATCTTGCAGGCCCCTGAACTACTTAAAGTTACATCTTTATTATTATCAATGTGTATCTGTGTTTGCGCGCGCGTGCGTGTGTGCGTGCGTGTGTGTGTGTGTGTGTGTGTGTGTGTGTGACTGTAAGGGCTCATAGAGTCCCCCAGATATAAAGTGATAGGTAGCTGTGAACTGCCCCATGTGGGTGCTGGGTACCAAACTTGGATTCTCTGCAAGAGCAGTAAAAGCCCTTAACCACTGAACCATCTCTTCAGTCCCACATGGGAGCAGTTTGGGCTTTATCAGTTGTTTTCGTTCCTCCCTGGAAGACTCTGGAATGAGGGCTGCTTTCCTTTCCTATGCCCCTGGATTTCATCCATCTTCCTGTCCTACCCCAACAGCCTTCTAACAAACAGCCACTTGGATCTTCTTCAGTTTAATAGTGTCAGAAGCTGATAGGCCGGGAGACTGATGGTCAGGGTAACAGGGTGCCCTGGGGGTCGCTCATTCCCCGGTGCCCCACGTCCAGCAGAGTGGCCAGTGGGAGGGGGACTGAGTGTTGGCTGCTATAGGCCTGTTTCACGCTGTTTCGACTTCTCATTCCCATCACAGACATTAAACACTAGGACTGACTTTCAAAGAGGGAAAAAATGAGTGGAACATAGCATGAGCTCCTTAGGAGACAGAGACAGATGGATAAGGCCACAGATGCAGCAGAACAAGCTGGGAGCGAAAGCACAGAGTGCATTGCACACGGAGCCCATCTGAGTGCTGTGGTCTCGAGAGTCAGTATTGTTTCATAAGTGTCTGTTTCAGTTACACGCATGTACTGATTTACAAAGCACTGTATAAGTTATAAAATCTGAAACATACTACAGAAAAGGGGTTTTCAAAATGTTTAACCACAAAACATATACATACACTCTCTCTCACACACACACTTACACACACACACATACACACCCATAGGGTTTGGGGGGAGGGTTTCCAAAGAGCAGTTTCTATCTCTCTACAATGCTATTTCTGTTTTGTTTCCTAAAAGTGCTGGCTACCCCCAGTTGAAATAGTTTGACTACTGTCTTGACCCCATTGTTGAGAGACTGCGAACTTCATTTTTTATTTTGTCAGGGATGAGCTCCATCTCTCCCCTGCTGGCATGGATCTATTTCCAGACATGCTCTATGAAGCCCTAAGCAGACCCTGCTAGCCCCAACTTCATGGCTAATACAGCTCATCAGAACTCTGGCTTCCTGGGCTGGTGGCTTTCTTTTCCTCCCTAGGATAAGCTGTGCAGAAACTGTGTCAGCAAGGTGACAGGATGTGATCTTCCCCGCCCCCACGCACCTGATCTTGGGTTCCATATACGTACCTAGGAGACTTAGGGTCCCCATCTTTGCACAAGAATGCCTGAGCATCTTCCACTGATCCACCTCGGTAGGTTAATATGGGGATTGGTGTCGTCAGAACACCTTGATGACAAACACAAAGGGCAGCCTCGTCAGTGCTGGGATTGTACAGCGCTGTTGAAAAGCATCTTAGGGCAGTAGCGTAACCGTGATTGAGCGGTGTCCTTCCAGAACATTTTGTTAGAACTCAGAGGATAGTAGGTTTACTTCTAGTCCTAACTAAACTCCGGAGTTGATAGGGGCTGGAGGGTTGAACTGGAGCAGTACCGACCTGGGGATGTGCAGTGTGTAAGATGCCCCATGATGCTGTGTCAACAGAAGGTCTATTCCAACCCACTGCCAGCAAGAGTCCCATGTACTCGTTTAGATGCCCACAGGACAGAGTGCCAGGATTTTTACATGCATGCGCTCATTTAATTTTCATAATCCTCTTCCATAAAGTGATTATTATTTCTATATTATTGAAGGGGAAAATTGATGCTCAGTGACACCAAGGAGGTTGTATGTCAGATATAGTATGTATGTGTGCATGTGTGTATATATGTGTGTGTGTGTGTGTGTGTGTGTGTGTTGGTAGCACAACTCCAGTTCTGTCTTAGTTTAATTTCTGTTACTGAGCTAAAACACCCTTACCCAAGGCAATTTAGTAAAGAAAGGGTTAGTTCAGCTGGCAATATTAATCCACAGGCCAACTTGATCTAGATAATTCCTCAACTGAGACTCCTTTGTCAGGTGACAAGGAGACATTAAAACCAGCCATTAAATCCCTACCCCCAGATCTTATAAGTTCCCTCTCCACCTAAGCACTCCTTCAGAGGAGACCAATACCAACTGAAGCAGGGGCCCAGAGACTTGGGATCTGTACTTGTATGGCAGTGGTGAACTTGTATCAACAGAGTGAAATTGATTCTTAAAAAAATATAACACTTTCCTGGGCTGGTGGCTTTCTTTTCCTCCCTAGGATAAGCTGTGCAGAAACTGTGTCGGCGATTACACAAATAAAACACATTATTGTAGATTATGTGGAAGACATACATGTATTCCCCCCAAGTGAAATTCATTTGAAATTTGAAATTTTCATTTATATATCTCCCAGCAGTTTGGGGATGAATCCTGGCTTTTTCACAGGCCCAGGGCAAATATCCAAGCCGAAGGAAAGATGGCCAACAGAAATTGCTAGGCAGTGCCCCTGGTCACGGGACTTAGAGGCATGCGACTTTGGCTAGGCCACATGAACTTCCTGAGTACTGCTTCTGTAAAGTTATGCCCACACACTCAGTTCGCTGGGGTAGACCCATGATGGCCTTGATACCTGTCAGTTACCTGGCTGGGAGCTAGTAAAAAGTGGGTACTGACTCAAGGTCCCCCTCACTCCCCTGGCTGCACTGGTGTTGGGGTGTGGGTACCTGGAAGCCCAGGCAGACAACTGAGCCACATGTCTAAGAAAGAACACACAAGACCTCTGTCAAGGCGGGTCAAGAGATGCGGCTCCCTCATCTGAGCTAGGGTACAATCCTTGCTGAGTTTGTGCCCAAGAGAGGGGAGAAAGGACCACGCTGTTCCCCCACCCCCTCTAAATCATTTGCTAGGCCTCAAAAACAGACTGAAATAATTTTCACAAACAGGTCCAGTTGCTTCATTTACTTCATCCAAATGTAACAAAAGTTCTGCAGAATCCCATAAAGCAATGGTACCTCCCATGGCATCGTGCAGCCCAGACAGCCCTGAGACCCTGAGAGCCACCCAGCCAAGCTCTCAGGAAAGGAACAGGGCGCTCTCGCTCTCGCTCTCTCTCTCTCTCTCTCTCTCTCTCTCTCTCTCTCTCTCTCTCCCCCC